CAAAATGGTGTTTAGAGGTTCTGGAAAGGCGGACAAGGGGAAAACAGGCGGGCAAGGGGGAAACAGGCGGACAAGGGGGAAACAGGCGGACAAGGGGGAAACAGGCGGACAGGGGGAAACAGGCGGACAAGGGGGAAAGGGACGGACAAGGGGGAAACAGGCGGACAAGGGATAAAACAGGTGGACAAGGGGAAACAGGCGGACAGGGGGAAACAGGCGGACAATCGGGAAAGGGACGGGCAAGGGGGAAACAGGCGGACAAGGAGGAAACAGGCGGACAAGGGGGAAACAGGCGGACAAGGGGGAACAGGCGGACAAGGAAGAAACGGTCGGACAAGGAAGAAACAGGCGGACAAGGAAAAAAACAGGCGGACTTTTAATCAGGTTGCAACTGGTTCTGTTAGCATATCAGCTCTTCGTTGGCTACTGAAGAAGGGGACAAGGCACATGTGGGAATGACCTGAGTGCGATGATGTCAGTTCTTTATTGATTGATTCATTCATTCACAAAATGTTTAAAATACAACTTTCAATGCAAGTGTGACAATCAAGAGAAACTGACAGGCGCTTAACATGCTTACAGAAAAGAAAAGGAGCTAATCAACAGTCGAACTTATATCAAGGATACAGAAAACATTTGTTTGTGAAGTACCCCTCGATACGTTCATGAAAAGTAATTTAAACAAAACGCTTGTACTTTTCCATGATTTTCTTGGTCACATTGTACGTGTTGTGATATTTAGTTTAACCATTACATCTCGAAGCTGGAAACTCTTTATTTGTAAATTCTAATTCTAGAACCTTGACAAATAAATTTCACGTTCGCAGACAGCAAATAGCTAGTAATCTCCGGAGTTTGATATGTGCAGAGAGGGAGCCACTTCTACAACTACAACAGTACAACAGCACACAGCATTGCAGATGGTTGTCCCAACCTCACACGATTGTTTATGTAAACACAAAAGTACAACAAAAGCCACGATCTACCATTGTGCTTTTCGGTGCGGACAATCAAAACAGTACTTTTGCTGTAGAGACTGCCAATTAAAGGAGGGTTACTGAGAGAAAAAAATGGGGGGGGGGGGAGGAGAGACAGTAGATATATTTTAGCCTCATTAAAACATACGTCTCTTTAAAATATCGACACTTGAGGGAAACCTCGAAGACATACTGGGTATATAGGGCTAGACCATGACCGTCTCCAGCATGGGCCGGGAATCTCGTCTGGTCACCTGTAAAACGTGGGCCAACAAAGAAGTTCTCAGTTTTTTCGAAGTCAATGGTGGACCTGTATTTTTTTTTTTTTACGTGTGTAGTTACCTTTCCTTTTATTTACATTTTCGAAATAGCTGTTGTCGGGAGATGTGAACCAGCGTCACTGCACACAGTTATGAACCATAAGTGCTCTGCCACCAGTATGGACAGCTAACAAGAACTGTGTCGCCGTCCGTACGAGACTCCGTAGCTACAGCGATGTTCCTCCATTTACCTTGGAGTGTTAACTCTGGTACCCATTACCTAGAGGCTGGGTGAACCGTCCAGCTTTGAACATCGGCCGTGGGCTGCAGCGAATCGAAGCTGGATTTGAAAGCGAGTCTCCTATCGACTACGCTAACCTGGCTCCCTGAAGCGTTAAGTGTTATTAACTATGTCTGCGAAGTATTCAGTGCCTCTATGATACTTCCAGTGGATATGTGAGTGTGTTTAAAGTGAGACGATCATGGCTAGACCTATATATTTTATAGACAAACTGGCACTTTGTGTGCGATGTGATCAACATTGGCTGGTATCTATTTTATGCAGGGTTGTCGAAATTGGAGCTAATTTCGATGTTCCCCCTTCTATATCACCCCGGTTGGACTCGAACCCAAGATCTTCGGGCCGGCAAGCGAGCCTCTAGAAAGCAACCAGAACAGGACCCTTTCTGACATGGATACGTGTGAGCTCATACCGTCGGCACCTAGACAAAGTCGCATAACTACAACTTCTGGTGATTTTCACCTAAGTACATTTTCAGAGCTGTTATTTGTTCATTTGCAATATGCAAAAGGCACACGTGTGAATTCCGACTCCTTTTTCTTCTTTACGTGCTCTTTTACCGCTTCGGGTGTAGAGGGAGATATAAGGTCCTGCTTTGTGCTTTTCTGGCTGCTTCGACCAAAGACACATCGTGGTGCTGTAGAGTTTCTCTGATTTTATCCTTCCATTTTGTTCTTGGTCTACCTCTTGCTTTACGTCTCTCTCCTCTTTTCGTTTATGCCTTTTCCCGTGTGGGATCCGGGGCCCTATTATAGGGAGAACAAGAATAGATCCATTGCCTATCCAAAAGCATGTCGTAAGAGTCGACTAATTGGGAGCTTCCTTCGAAGTCGGAGTGCATCTGCCTGAGAGGCAAGGAACTAACAGTCTACATACAAATAAGTCAGATCTGACAAACGGATGCACACTCAACACTCAGGTTCTGGAACTTGACTGCAATCCAGAAGTGGACGAACGACCAGAACTTTCCGCCAGAGTTTACAGCTGGTGAACGCGAAAAAGAAAGTTTATGCCTTGAATGGTAGAGCATCAGAAGGCATTCTCTCCAAGTGGGCAAACCATTTTCTTTGCTGTCTTTCTATGCAATTTAGAATTGGTTCTGACTCCAACTGCAAACTGATCAAAATAAAATACTACCTTCCATACAACTACATAACTGTAATGTGCTAAATCGAATTCAAAAGCGATTTTCTTGAAACAAGAAGAAGAAAAAAAAAACCCACATAGGTGACGTTAGCATAGTGCCAGAAATATGTAGGCAGGCGGGTGTAGAGAATACAGATGATTACAGTAGAGCTGGCTCTCCGAACGGTTAGGAACGCTGGTCTCTCCTATGGGAGGCCAAGGCTCGAATCCTCTGTAACGTTATGGGGTCGTAAGGACTGCACTAGCAATCCTCTGATTCACCCCCCCCCCTCCCACCCCACCCCCCACAAACACACACACACACACACACTCCTTTACCTAGAGCGCAATAATGGTAAAGTTCGGCAGTAACCACGCGCGGTAGATTTTCAAACAGTACCTCTAGACATCACAAACTATGACTGGAAATCTCAGCGAAGTGACATGGGAGAAACTCTGAAACGCGAACGTTTCGACGGTATTCACACAATGACATGGGAGAAGCTCTGAAACGCGAACGTTTCGACGTTATTCACACAATGACATGGGAGAAACTCTGAAAAGCGAACGTTTCGACGGTATTCACACAATGACATGGGAGAAACTCTGAAAAGCGAACGTTTCGACGGTATTCACACAATGACATGGGAGAAACTCTGAAAAGCGAACGTTTCGACGGTATTCACACAATGACATGGGAGAAACTCTGAAAAGCGAACGTTTCGACGGTATTCACACAATGACATGGGAGAAACTCTGAAAAGCGAACGTTTCGACGGTATTCACACAATGACATGGGAGAAACTCTGAAAAGCGAACGTTTCGACGGTATTCACACAATGACATGGGAGAAACTCTGAAAAGCGAACGTTTCGACGGTATTCACACAATGACATGGGAGAAACTCTGAAACGCGAACGTTTCGACGTTATTCACAAAATAAATTTCTCCCTCCCCATGTGGGACTAATTTTTCGTGTTTTATTTTGAGCCCCACTCTGGTTGTTGCTGGGGGGACCTTATTATTATAACCTAACGGTTGAATGGGTTTCTGGGACCTCTCCACGGGTGATCCTCATCCGAATGATGGCAATTTGTGTCACCGGATGTTTACCGCTCAGTGTGGTGTCCTGGTGGGGTAAAAAGTCAGTCAGTCAGTTAGGATTCAAAACAATGTGTTTCCTGTAATGAATTTTTAAAATGTGGATACAAGCACTCAGTCCTTAAGAAAAAGAATAGGGGCTTTTCAGCTGAAATGCTATAGAAAGATTTTCAATCTTGGACAAAAAAGATGAGAAATATTGACATCTTAAAAGATCTGAACATCAAGGAAGATTGGCTAATAAACAGCATCCTTTCTCGAAAGCTGAAATATTTTGGTCATATCAAGCGCCACGAAGGAATGGAAAAAATTATAGCAGAAGGCATGGTACCAGGAAGGAGGGGCAGGGGCCGACCGACACGAAGATGGGTACAGGATATAAGTGACTCGTTGAGTGTGAAAGTTCATGAGGCGGGAGAACTGGCAAGAGACCGAGTTTCTTACAGGCAGACTGTGATGAGAGCGACGTTCTGCAAAAGACCTGCTACATGATGATGATGATGATGGACACAAGCAATACATTGCACAGTAAGGGGTTTTTTCTTGGCAAATATCGCTGTATCTCGTCAGGTGCATTGTTACCTGTCCCCTGAGCTATCATCTTTTCCCCCCGCAAACAATTCCAACGCTGAGCTACCAGCGCCAAACATGTACATTATATAAGGTCCACACACACAAACATCACTACATCCGAGAGGAGGTGCGTTTACAAAAGCCGCCAGCGTAACCATCCGAGACCGAGTGAAATAATAATAGTATTAGACAGACAGTGGGAACGACACCTTGTACTATATTCATCGAGAAACAGCAGATCAAGTGGTTCGGCCATCTCGTTAAAATGCAGCAACACTAAATACCAGCATAGAAACTATGAAGATCAGCTACAAATGCAAGCGCACGGCTATGAAAAAAATAGATTGACCTAACTAAAGACACTTTGCCCCTTTATTACATAACAATAGCCTGTGTTATCCAGCGTGTACTGGATCGCATATTATTCTTTCCCATGTCGCTTAACGGCAAAAGTGGTTGATGATGATGATGATGATGATGATGATGATGATGATGATGATGGAATGTGTGTTGTCAACGCTACAGGCTGGGGGATATAGTGAGGTGGGTAACCGAGCACGTATACAATGTGTAGTGAAGATGATCTGTCGATTGACTGACTGACTGACTGACTGACGTACTGACTGACTGACTAGCTAACTAACGTGCAATCATATACTTTACCTGAGGCAATCTCTCATCAGAAGCAATCGTTGCTCTTCCTCATAGACCTTCTTTGCCTCTAGCGGCAGTGAATACAGCGGCGCCTGACACGGTGAGCAATTGTGGTTGCAGACGTCAATACAGGAGAGTGAGTTACGCCTGTTCGACATCTTGGACGGTTGTGTTGCGTTGATGATTTTAAAAGTTACATTCTTCAAGCAGCTTATGCCCTGTTTTCTGGCCTCCTCGTCCGGCAT